TTTGTGTCATGGATTTTCTGAGAAAGGTCACAGAAACGTTTGCTGTGTAACTTTTCTGGTTGGGAGTTGGCACCAGTTTCGCTCCAGGGAGACGTTTTTGATTGTTACACGTTATTCTGCTCAAAGAATGCATGACTTTTTTGGGGGGGAATCAGCTGGAACGTCTCCCTGAATTTGACCCGTTATGAACCTAAGTTAGTTAATCTATATACATATAAATAAAAAAACAAATCAACACCTTTATTCATTACATATATTGTATGTATATTGTCTGAATGATTTTTGAACAATTTTTGTAGCTTTCTTAGGTCGCGTTTACACTGAAACGAGTCACTGTAAAAGAAATGTTTTGCGTCCACACATGTCGTTTCTGTGTCCGCAAGCTTTCCCTATCCACACAGCTTTGAGCACATTTGTTTACGTTTTACAGAAACGAAACTTAAAACCGCATGGCTCATTTGTATAAACTAAGCGATCGAAAAAACATTTGTGCGCTGATGCGGTTCAGCTTCTGTCAGACCAAAGGACACGACTCAGTGGAATATGAGTGTTCTTTCTGTGACAGAGGGGTGTTCTGCTGATGGTGAGTCTGTTCTGTGTTTCTGTCACGTTGGAGATGGTTCATGTGAAGCTTTTCAGAGATTATACGTCTGCAGGTCGTACACACAGACACACGTTTATATGAATGGACAGATATTTTAGCTTCTTAGTGTTTTGGCAGTGAATTACTTCGCGGTGCACAGACCTACATCAGAGTATCAGTGTTTTCAGGCGTTCACCCGATGCCGGATCAGGTCTGTACTAAGATGAATTCGTGGGAGCTGGAGGCACCAGATCGTTTTGTCTCTGGAGCCATTTTCAATCGGATTAGTGTGAACGAACACTGCATCCACAACGAAAACGACTCAAAAACGTACTAGTGTGGACGGGGCTTTAGTTTCTTGTGTTGCGCTTCTTACAAATTATGTTCATGGCAGGTAAATAATTAATATTTCTTCCCAGATCAACAGTTACAGACATGGGGACATGGGGGTCCTTCTTCCTATGGGATTTGCCCCAAATTACATACATCACGACCAAACAGCAGCGATTGGTTAAACAAAAAAGTACCTGCCTACCATCGAGTGAAAGAATCCTAATGCTGCGAGGTCAGATGGTTTCTACGAAGTGAAACTGTCTGATGAATCAGGCTAGATTTTCTAATGCTCGAGCTGGGAGTTTCAAGGCAGGGGAACACTAAAGCCTTTATTCCTATTTTTTTTTTTCATGTTTTTTTTTCCTTGCCATATTTTTCTTGCTACTAGAAGTTTATAAAAAAATTGTATATAGTAAAAGTAAAGTACAGGACTGAGAGTTGGGACGGGCCCGAAGGTGCGCCCGCGTAGACTGTCGAGTGATCGGGACTGAGACCGGGACTGAACGCATCTCAGTCCTGGTTTAGACCTAGTTCAGTCCTGGTTTAGACCTAGTTCAGTCCTGGTTTAGACCTGGTTCAGTTTAAATCACGGAAACCAGAAACGGCTGCTATCCGTTTTTTCTATTATTCATTTAAAAACAAAATGGAAAACTGAAAAAACGAATCATTATCTGTTTTTTTCATTTTGGTTTTATTTTGAAAAACGAATGAAAGAATGACTCACGGATTCACATAGGTCATACTAATCCCGTGCGAATACGGCTAAAAAAAACCCCATAATAACAAAACAAACAAATAAATGAATTGAAAAACGTGTATTCTTCCTGTGAGTGGGATCGCCTCTCCACAGATCTGACCTGTAGCTTATCTCCCTGGTAACAGATACAGTACGTTTAATGCGATCCAAACACTGCGATGTTATCTAGGGTTAATCATTTTATTTGGATGATAAGAATTTATGAGACAAGCGCAGGAAGCAGAAGTCAGTGAGGGAGTTGGCTGAATAATATTCGGTATTTTTGGACGTTTTGGAAAAGTATAAAAGCAGATTAAACTCAAGATTCACAAGGATGTTATAAATATACTGTTTCCTAGTACTTTTTTTCTGCGTAAATAGCCGTTGCTGTGTGAACTCCCGTGCCGTTGTAATGTTGTGAGGGCAGTTTAGGTCAAATACAAAGACGCACGTAATAGTTTTGAAAGCTTTTGCCACGCTCCCTTTACTTGAATACAATTTTAAGTGGATATTTTTAATTTTTACTTCATTACTTTTGAGATTAAGTAGCTGTACTTCACTCCTACGTTTCCCACTACAGCTGAACTGAAAAGTCAAAGTATTTTTTATGATAGTTTGAGAATTAGTTTGTACTGTTTTTCTGCATAAATAGTAGTTTTTGTGTGAACTCCCGTGCTGTTGTTGTCGCGTGAGCGCAATTTGGGTCAGATACAGAGATAGTTTAGTTTCGAAAGCTTTTGTCTCGTCTTTTTTTGTTTTGTTTTGTTTTTGTCAACCAACCGATCAGACCCTTTACCACAGAAGTTACATGTTGCGTCTTTATAATATATTATCGCGGTTTTAGTTTATTTTTCACAAGTGTTGTCACGATACAAACATTTCAAACTTGATTTTCGATACTAAGGAACTGTGGATGTAACTTTTTTTAGTATCGATACCTGATCAAATGAGCATCTAGTTTCGATTCTAGTTTTTTAAAGTGTTTATTTCATTCCTAAAGTATAAAAAGACACTAACAGGGTCCTGAAATCAATGAAAAGGAACAGAAAGAAGAGTCATCTTACATTATCGGTCCACTCTTCCCTTTTCCAGACACATTTACACTGAGAGTTACTTTAAAACATTTCAAATCCGTACATTTCATTTTAATCACAAATATTAAACAGAAAGCTTCACTTTTATGCACAACAGCTTAGTTTTAAATGCCATTCTTCTACTTGATTCTTTGATTTCTTTGTCAAGACTCTTCCATAAACGAACTCCTTTCACAGTGATGCTTCGCTTCATAACTTTGGTTCTGAATTTGTTTTTGTTTTTTTTAAACATGTAGGTTTCTTTTTAAATTGTAATGGCTTGTTCTCGTCTCAAACATCTTTGAATATTTACAGGTGACACTCTGCACTTTGTTTTATACATGACTTTGAGTAGACTTTAGTCAGCAATGTCATGCATCAGTTCAACACTTTAAGTTTAACAAATAATGGGTTCGATGGTTCTTTATAGACCTTTTTCACAATGGCTGCGATGTAGGGTAAACGTAACTCTCGGTTAATGATTTTCTATGGCAAAATATCTGTGTAAATGTCTGGCATATTTTCCAGCAGCTTCATAAATCTGTCCCAGCACTAAATATTCAACCAACAAGGTCCACAAAGGATAAACCACGAACTTCCACGAAGAATTTACCCCCAACTCTCAAGGGAAGAAAGACGAAACCTTAAGGGAGAAAAATTACGACGCATTAGTGACACACTGAACAAAACTAATGTTATGGTCATGAATAAAACAGAAGTAACTTGTTCACTCAGACTGATTCTAGAATAAAAAATAAAAAATCGTTTTCATGATATTGGCATAGATAAATAGATTTGTGCAGTTCGAATGCTACAAATGTTCACAGATCACACGTCTCAAATTTAGACCCCGTTTACACTGAAACTAATCCACGTATCACCGTATCGGAAACGATCTGCGTCCACACACGTCGTTTATATCTGCAAGCCTTCCCTATCCACACAGCTTTGAGCATATTTGTTTACATTTTACAGAAACGAAACTTAAAACCACATGTGCGAAGAATCTCTCAGTCGTCCAGGTAGAATCCATGAGGAGAAAATTCAGTTTGTCGACTTCAGTTCTTACCGAAGAACTGAAGAAGCGAAAACATCTGCGAAACGTCTTCAACCAAACTAACTTTTGTCCAGTCGACAAACTGAATTTTCTACTCTTAAAACCACATGGCTAATTTCCATAAACTGAGCGGCTCAAAAAAACAGCTCGCTTCTTGTGCGCTGATGTGGTTCAGCTTCTGTCCGACTAAAGGACACGACTCAGTGGAATATGAGTGTTCTTTCTGTGACAGAGGGGTGTTCTGCTGATGGTGAGTCTGTTCTGTGTTTCCGTCGTGTTGGAGATGGTTCATGGTAAACTTTTCAAAGCTTATACGTCTGCAGGTCGTACGCACAGACCGTATCTATGAATGGACATATATTCTAGCCTCTTAGTGTTTTGGCGGTGAATTACTTCGCGGTGCATTGACCTACATCAGAGTATCAGTGTTTTCAGGCGTCCACACATTCGTACTCAGATGAATTCGTCGGAGTTGGCAGCACCAGATCGTTCCGTCTCTGGAGTCGTTTTCAGTCGGACTAGTGTGAACGAACACTGCATCCACAACGAAAATTACTCGAATCTCGAATACGAACTAGTGTGGACGGGGGCCTCAAAACTGCACAAATCTCTGTCTGTACTAATTTCGACATCATGAAATTGACTTTTAATTTTAATTCTAGAAACAGTCTGAGTGAACAAGTTACTTCCGTTTTATTCATGACCTTAACATTAGTTTTGTTCAGTGTGTCATTAATACGTCGTCGTCGTTGTTCTCCTTTTACGTTTTCATCTTTCTTCCCTTGATAGTTGTGAATAAATTCTTCATGTTAGAATGTTTATCCTTTGTGGACCTTGTTGGTTGAAGGTTTGGTAATTTGGGCAGTTTTATGATGCTGGTGGAAGAATGTGCCAAGCATTTCCACAGATATTTTGCCATAGAAAATCATTAACCAGGAGGAACATTTACCGTACATCGTGGCACTTGCGGCCGTTGTGAAATAGGTTTGTAATGACTGATAATTCTCAAAGTCCTCTTCCGTAAAATAAATAAAGTCTGTGAGTGAGTTTTACATTTTGACCCTCAAATATGGTGCAATTATAGAGTTATACATGGTTAATAATGCCGCACTATTTCGTGGGAACTTTACTTTATGCAGCACAGCGATTGTTTCCGATACTTTTGACACTCAGCGTTACCTATTTTCATGACTGACATTGTTGTTTTTCTCTTTGCAGGCTTATATTCTTGGGGCATGAGCCCAGTCAATCCAGGTATGTCCCTTTTCCCATAAACTTCATTATAAATAAGTAACCAGACTCTTTTTACGAGCAAACAAATGACCTGTCCAACTGATGTTTCCTCACTTACCAAAAGCAAACAGCACTAGGAGAACTTACCGACCACGATTTCACAATGTTGACATCCACTTTTATTGTAAGTGTTGACTTAAGGGGATTTTTTTTTTGCCGTTTTTTTTGCAGTTCAACAGTCCAGGCCGTACATAGAGATTATCGAGCAGCCCAAGCAGAGAGGCATGCGCTTCAGGTACAAGTGCGAGGGGAGGTCTGCCGGAAGCATCCCCGGAGAGAAGAGCAACGACACCACCAAGACGCACCCGGCTATCAAGGTACTGCAAAGTCGATTTTTTTTTTTTTTTTTTTTTTTTTTGTAACGCAAAATTGACTGATGAGAGTTTGTAGTTGTGTTGGAATGTTGTTATCTCCTCAAAAACAGACCTGGAGTTTAGTTCAGTAGAGACTGGCTGAAATTATCCGAATGATTGAATGATTGAAGGTGTGTAGGAGTGTAAAAACACAGTGGAGCACTTTCTGTATTACCACATGACATCACAAGGTGGAACAGAGGAGATTTCTCAAAACTAAATCTGCAGGGTTTGTGTGTTAAACATGTGTGAATGAAACAAAACACAACTCCGGGTCTGTTTGTGACGAGGAAACATTACACATCATAACATAGATCCAAAAATAGCTTAGTATGGGCTCTTTAATTAGAAAATGGGAGTATTCCAATAACGATTTTGGATTCGGTTGTGACATATCTTCTGCCTCGAGGGAGTGGCACGAAACGGAAGCTTCCCAATAAAAGACATTCAAGTTAAGCAGGCTGAAAATTGGCGTGTATCAAATCACGAGAACGGTTCAGCAGCAGCAACAATGAGCGGTACTCCCACGGCGAAATCGAACCGCGTTCAGTGGATAAAACGGGTCTAATGGTTTTGTTCATTTGTCGATTCGTCATTGCTGATTCGATGACGCACGTAGATAATTATCTTAAATAAACTGCAGCTAAACCCACAGCCTGTTATTATGGCACGACTGGTTTACAAGCCGCATTGTTCGCCGATAATGAGGCATTAACTAAATGGACATTTTGTTATTGGAGCTGCTCGGGTTGTATCCGGTGGAGGAAGCACTCGATGTTGTGACCTCATTGATATCATGAGGTTCTGGTCGGTGTTTAAGAAAAGAGGTGTAGGCCACGGGACGGAGAGAGTGAATCACAGCAGCTCGTACATTTTATACATTACCGTAAACAGGGGTGTGTTCTGAAGTAACAAAAGACACATTAGTAATGACTTAACGTTTAACCGTTCACTTAACAACATGTATGACAACAGCATGTTCCAATTAGTGCCTCTAAAACCACTTATTAAATAAAAAAAATCATACTATCATCAGTGTTGGGGAGTAACAGCCCGTTTGACATTATAATGTGTTTAATTCAGTTTTGCGCACAGAAATGAAACTTAAAACCGCATTGCTAATTTGCATAAACAAAGATAAAACTCCAGCTCTTGTGTCGCTGATGTGGTTCAATTTCTGTCGGATTAAAAGACATGACTCAGGTGAATACAGGTTAGTGTGACCAGATTTGTGTTTGTCAAAACCAGGACACCGTACGGGGGGAGGGGGGTGGGGACTCGTCATCGACATTGAGCGACTCTCACCTGGAAAAACTTTTTCCCTCTGGACACAAAAACATATGTGCTGCTTTATACACTGTGCACATGGACTCACACTTGTCCCGAACGCAACTGAAAGTGTGGAATTTCTTGTACAAATCATCGTTAAATACACGTATGCACTTCGGTACGTTGCAGACTGACCGACTGTTTGTGTCTCGCTCCTTCTGAGTGCAGAGACACATGTACACACCTGTTTGGTCACGATACACACAGCAACCTACATTCGGTTTGTCGATTAAAATGAACGTAATCGATGAAACTCTTAATGATCAATTATCGATTAATCATGCCCATCCCTAGTTCTTACACCAGAGCCTGTCCTCTACGAACACAAGAAATCTGTACCATTTTGTGTAGATCGGCTATAGATCTGTATTAGCTGATATAAATATAAAAATCTAGAATCAGATTTGTCTTTTTGAACAGACTCATGGAGAAAAAAATGGAAATAAAAGTTGTATAGCGAAAAATAGTGAAAAATGTGTTCGTGATTTTTACTTCAACTTCGCTTGTGGGCCTTGCTGTGGATTTTAAAATTAGATATTGGTGTCAGAAAATATTGGTCATGGTTATAGGTTTGGTTTAGATCTGGTTTAGTCCTGGTCTAGACCTGATAGGACCACACCACAACAATATATTTGCAATGACGATGAGATGAAGTGGAGTTGGGGGGTCTGCTCAGCCCACAGGACCCCCCTCCCCGTCTGTAGATGTAGATGTCTTAAATCAGAAACACAAACAGCAGAGCGGGTAAGAGGGCGGGGCGCAGATACTGTAGCTCAGACAAACTGTGTTGATGGGAGAGGCTTCTGGGTAATTGGAGGTGTGGTTGAGATGAGCCGCGGGTTCACAGGAGAAGCCGGTTGAGGCGTTGTCCTGCTCCTGAATCTCACTTATTCAAATTAACTCTATTTTGGTGTAACTTTGTGTGGAAAGCAGCACATTGAGCATATTTTTCCTGGGACCAGTTTCCTTGGTCTAATAGAAACCAGACCGGACTTCTGTGCAGCCAGAAGACTTTCTCTTAATACTTACATCATAAATCATAGCTGCTCACTTTGCTTCGTGATTGTAACTTTCATAAACGTGACAAATCTGTGTCCCATGGTCTTGGTAAACAGTAGTAATTTATTTGAATATGTAATCTGGTGTTTTGGTTCCCTAGAAAACTGTCCAATCAGAAGCAGAACGAGCCTCACATGATTTTCTCATTTGTGTTGCCAGGTTCAGTGCTGAAATCCAGCTGGTTTAAACCTAAAATGCGTCTCTCTGATCTGAACGGGCTCTTCCTAAACCCCGGCACCTCCTGCAGCCAAACATGAGTCAGTGCTAGTGCAGCCTCTGCAGCTCAGGGAGGGAATTCTGGAGGTTCTGAGCTTTCACGTGACGCCTGAACATAAACTGAGAATGAGACAAACTTGTATGTTTTCTCTGTCTGCAGGTTTGGGCTCTGGCCACTAGGGATGGGCATGATTAGTCGATTAATCGATAATTGATCATTAAGAATTTCATCGATTATGTTAATTTTAATCGACAAACTGAATGTAAGTTGCTGTGTGTGTCGTGATCAAACAGGTGTGTACATGTGTCTCTGCATCAGAAGGAGCGAGACACAAACAGTGGGTCAGTCTGTAACGAACCGAAGCACAAATGTGTATTTAACGATGATTTGTAAAATCCAGGCTTTCCGTTGCGTTCGGGACAAGTGTGAGTCCATGTGCACAGTGTATAAAGCAGCACATATGTTTCAGAGTCCAGTGGGAAAAAGTTTTACCAGGTGAGAGTCGCTCAATGTGGATGACGAGGCCCCGCCCCCCTCCCCCCGTACGGTGTCCTGGTTTTGACAAACGCAAATCTGGTCACACTAACCTGTATTCCACTGAGTCATGTCTTTTAATCTGACAGAAGTTGAACCACATCAGCGACACAAGAGCTGGAGTTTTATCTTCACTGAGTTTATGCAAATTAGCGATGTGGTTTTAAGTTTCATTTCTGTGAGAGTTGAACAAAACTGAATTAAACACATTATAATGTCAAACGGGCTGATGTGACTCTAGAGTCGCTACGGTTTATATGTTGTAAAGTTGAGTTTATTTATGCAGATTAGTAGTGCAGATAATAATAATAATGATGATCATTTTAATATAAAAACGTTAATGATTAATCGATCGTTAATTCTTCCGACGATCGATTAAGAAAATTTCATCGAATGCCCATCACTACTGGCCACAGAGGTTCAGTTGTGATTGTAGTATCTTTTTTTTTTTTTACTTTAAGATCGTGCACTATGAAACTTGTCTGTTAGAGGGTCCACCACCTTCTTATCTCCATGGTGACGTTATAGCAATGTGGCATTTAAATGGTCTATCCTACATTTATTCATCCATCCAACCATTTTCTTCAGTTTTATCTGGAGCCAGGTCGCAGAGGAAACAGTATAGGCGAGTTTCAGCTGACGTCATTGTTATTAAAAGCTCGTGTTGCTGCTGGGAAATATTTTGGTCGGAGGCAAGAAACACGGTAGCGTCAAACACAGTGCGTAACCTCGTGTATTTATCCCCGATAATGGTAAATTCCTGCTGCATTATCGGATGCACAAATAGAAGCACGGAAGAAGGAAAATGTCTTTTTCGTATTCTAAGTGAAAAGAACCGCTAACGGTGAATTAAACGGCTTTCAAACATCCGCAGAGCAAACGTAGAAGATCCTAACAAACCGTGGACAGCAACAAGTTCAACAACACATCGAGACTCTTGGAGGTTTTCATCTTTTCTGCTGTGAATGGCCCAGGAGTTTCCACCAAGTCATTGTGGATATCGTTGAAGTGAATATTTGTCCAGGTAGTTGGAGATTCTGACCAGAAATTTGGTTTGGTCCACCTTTTGTCGGGGTTGAAAAGGGTGATTTGTCGTCCATCGATGTTTATGACCAATTTCTGGTCAAATGGTCTTGGGTCCTCTGCCGTTAGAGTGGATAAATAACTGGGATCAATACCCTTTACGTGCTTTCTCGCTCCGTCCGTCATGTTGAATTAGTGTTTATTGCCGCCGACCAAAATAATTCCCAGCATGCAACGCGCGCTTTTGTCAACAATGAAACTCGCCTATTGAGCAGGGAGGCCCAGACTTCCCTCCACACACACTTCCTCCAGCTTCTCCGGGGGATCCTGAGATGTTCCCAGACCAGCCCAGAGACATAGTCCCTCCAATATGTAAAACTCATTTCGACCGTTTGTATCCACGATCTCGTCCTTTCGGTCACTACCCAAAGCAGAGCTAAATTCATTGCAGTACTGTGGAACATTCACGGGCAAAGTAACAGAATCTCCATGGAGACAAGAAGTTTTAGACCCTTCATCAGAAAAGTTGTATAGTGCATCTTTCATCAAATTCAGAATTTTAATCTTACAATCTCAAGTCACCTGGGTTCGGTTTTGGCAGCTGTTGCTTTAATTACACCAGGTCCTTTCTGCTCCCCACGTCGTCCCTCATAATTCTCCTCGTTTGACGTCTTTCCCTTTCTCTTCAGGTGCACAACTACAGCGGCCCCCTGCGCGTCCGCATCTCCCTGGTGACCAAAAACCCGCCGCACAAGCCCCACCCCCACGAGCTGGTCGGGAAGGACTGCAAACACGGATACTACGAGGCCGACCTGCAGGAGCGGAGGATACACAGGTGAGGGGTTCAGAGGGAGCGGGAAAACCAAGATTCTGACTAAAGCAGGAATTCTAACATGTAAAAGTTAGCCATATAAACTCTTTAGAATTGCCAAGATGTATAATAATGACATCCAGTCCACAAAACAGCACTGTGAATCCAGTTTGAGTCGTACTTTAAAAGTAAAAAGGCAAGAGTAGTTCCTCACGTGTGTCCGTTTACATCCACACAGCGCACGGATCGAGGTGAAGCTGCAGATTTGCGATCAAAACTACTTCCTGTGGACTTTATTAATCTTTTATGCTTTAAAAATCATGTATCTGAAGTTTTGCGCCACATTTCACAAATAATAATAACACAGTTTTGACTTGTATCTAAACTAGAAGTGCAGAGCTTGGATCTTTTGAACACTTAAGAGTCTCAAAGCGAATGGTTTGACTGTAGACAAGAAACAGCAGAAGAAATCGCGCTCACAACTTTATATCCTGTGGTCCGCAGACAGATCCCGCTGCAGTCCTCGGAGATTTGAAACCTTGTCTGATTCTCTTTGTGTCTGTGGTGTGCGCTTTTTGGTTACGTTCAGTCTGCAGCCTCAAGTGACCCAAATCTGATTTTTTCGCCATCTATATCTGATCTTTTTATGACAGTCTGAACGACACAGATCAGATTTTTTTTCTAATATTTTTTTTCCAGGCCACTTGGGCTACGTTCAGACTGCAGGTCTTAAAGCTCAATTCGTATTTTTTGTGTGAAAACCAATCTTTTTTGCGAGGCCGTTCACATTTCCAATTAAATACGACTTGTATGTGATCTCCAGTGTGAACTTTAAACGCCCCAAAAGTGTTCCACATGTGCACTGGAGGAGGAGACGACATCACACACGGCGAGTTTGCTCAGTGTTTACGGAAGTCGCCTAAACACTGGGCTTGTCTCCCAAAATCTCGTCCAGTTGTTGGTATAATGGACAGGTTACATGTCCACGGCCGCTTTGTTTGTTTGAGTCTTTATCCTTCTTGTATTTATTTTCCGTTGATAATTGAGCCAGGACCGTCTGTAGCCGCGCTCGGACATTTCTTTGGCAATCATTTCAAAGACCCCCCAATTTGTCCTGAATACATCGATCCCCCCAAATATTAATAAACTCTCTAACTTCGCTTTCCCTCCTTTGACGAGACTCCGAGCCTGACGTGTAGGTGGATGAATGCGCCTTGGCCGTTCAGACTGAAGTCGCATGTCAAAAGATCGAATATGTATCGGCGTTAGGAGCACATATCCAAGTGAACTGGGTCGCATTTGAAAAAAATCAGATCTGTCATTAAAATATATCCAAACGTTCCTTTCTCCACGGCCAAAAACCTCGTCCTTCTCCTTCTCAATCTTTCGTTAAATCAAAAAAGCTGCATATGTTCTGGCTCCGGTACAACAGCAACAATAAAATCGCTGCGTGTGACATTGTTGTGTCCTCCAGTGCACATGCGGGACACTTTTGGGGCTTTTAAAGTTCACACTGGAGATCACATACAAGTCGCATTTAATTGGAAATGAGAATGACCTCGCACAAAAATCTGATCTCACAAAAAAATCTGAATTGAGCGTTACGTCTTGAATGTAGCCTTCATCACATGTTTAAAAAGCCTTTAAATTTAAATTGTGTGGCAGAGTCCTGCATGGGTCCATTTTTGGAGACCCGCACCCTCGCACTACAGCACAACACCCGCCCATTAACCCGTGATTATATCAAAGTTAAAGCCGCACCCAACCCATTAACATTCAACCTGTTACCCGCCGATGCCCGTGATAAATCGGGATCACCCCAATAGTCCAGGACCAAACCAGGACTAAACCAGGACTGAACCAACACCGTGTCATTAGTGGATTATAAATATATACACGCTGCAACCGCCGAGCCTGTCGCCGGGACTACACCGGGACTGGACCGGGACTGGACCGGGACTACACCGGGACTGGACCGGGACTACACCGGGACTGGACCGGGACTACACCGGGACTGGACCGGGACTGGACCGGGACTGGACACCGGGACTGGACCGGGACTACACCGGGACTGGACCGGGACTACACCGGGACTGGGCCGGGACTGGACGGGACCGGGACTGGACACCGGGACTGGACGGACTGGGGACTGGACCGGGACTGGACCGGGACTACACCGGGACTGGACCGGGACTACACCGGGACTGGACCGGGACTACACCGGGACTACACCGGGACTGGACCGGGACTACACCGGGACTGGACCGGGACTACACCGGGACTGGACCGGGACTACACCGGGACCGGGACTACACGGACCGGACTACACCGGACTACGACTACGGGACTGGGACTACGGGACTACACACACTGGACACACACACACCAGGACTGGACCGGGACTACACCAGTGTCATTAGCATAAATATATACACAACACAACCGCAGAGCCGATCGCCAGGACTACACCAGGTCTAAACCAGGTCTAAACCAGGTCTAAACCAGGAAAAGAAAGACCGGGAAATGACGCTTGTTTCCAGGAAAATGGACATGTGCAATCACTACCCGCTCGCATATTCGCCCGTAAAATTCCAGAACCTTAAAACCCGACCATTTCAGCAACTAATTCGTGGATACCCGACTCAGTGCAGGACCCTGGTGTGTGGCGCCCTTTCTGTTATAATGCAGTGAATTCTTGGGTCTAATCACTAACAGAAATTATCATCAGAAATATCATTTGTGCATTCACCTTTTAGATAAATCATGGCAAAATACAATGAATACAGTGTCTTAATAAGAAATCTGGCTCTTGCCTTCGTGTGGGATTATCCGAGATCATCACTATCTAGAAACCGAAAAAAAAAAATCTTAATTTCCGTTCTGTAAGTCTAGAGAGAGGAGCGCAGAGGCCTTGGTCCGCGGAGGTCTTTTGATTGCAGGGAGGTGATGTGTTGACAGAGATATAAATAGACGACTGATACTGGGTCACTGGGAGTTTGCAGAGGAGTGGAACATTAACCGCCTGAAATCTGTGTCTTTGCGAAGGGAGTTTGGAGTCGGGGGTCGGGGTGAGGGCGGAACAAAAAAAATGCTGTAATGACTGTTAACAAAGAGTTCCGTTGAAACTAAATTCCACTGAAACTAAATTGTTCAAATAGTTTACAAAGATTATTGTTTTTTTTTGTGATAGAAACCAGAAAGGAGCTCCACGTGACACGAAAAAAATGTCTAAACCCGTAGTGAACCAGGGACTGAACCAGAGACTGAACCAGAGACTGAACCAGGACTGAACCAGAGACTGAACCAGGGACTGAACCAGAGACTGAACCAGGGACTGAACCAGGGACTGAACCAGAGACTGAACCAGAGACTGAACCAGAGACTGAACCAGAGACTGAACCAGAGACAGAGACTGAACCAGGACTGAACTGAACCAGGGACTGAACCAGGGACTGAACCAGGGACTGAACCAGGGACTGAATCAGAACTTGGACCTTACCACGATATGACCAGGATCACATTCTAAACCAAAGGAAGGACTAAACCAGGTCCAAACCAGGTCTATGACAGGTGTTTTATAGCAGGTCTTAACCAGGTCTAAACTAGATCTAAACTAGGTCTACATTAGATCTGCACTATGTCTAAACCAGGCCTTAAACAGGTCTAAACTAGATCTAAACTAGATCTAAACTAGATCTAAACTAGGTCTACACTAGGTCTACACTAGGTCTACACTAGGTCTACAGTAGGTCTACACTAGGTCTTAAATCAAGTCTTAAATCAAGTCTTAAACCAAGTCTTAACCAAGTCTTAACCAGGTCTTAATCAGGTCTAAACCAGGTCTAAACTAGATCTACACTAGGTCTAAACTTGATCTAAACTTGATCTTAAATCAGGTCTAACCCAGGTTTAAACCAGGCCTAAACTAGATCTAAACTAGGTCTACATTAGGTGTACACTAGGTCTAAACCAGGTCTTAAATCAGGTCTCTACCAGGTCTTAATCAGGTCTAAACCAGGTCTAAACTAGATCTACACTAGGTCTAAACTTGATCTAAATCAGGTCTAAACCAGGTTTAAACCAGGCCTAAATCGGGTCTACGCCAGGTCTACGCCAGAACTATGCCAGCCAGAACTATGCCAGGTCTATAACAGCTCAGTTCTATCAGGTCCAAACTAGGTTTAAACCAGGTCTACACCAGGTCTAAGACAGGTCAAAATCGTGTCTAAACCAAGTGTAAACCAGATCTAAACCTGTTTTAAACCAGGCCTCAATTGGGTCTACGCCAGGTCTATGCCAGTCTACACATAGGTCTAAACCAGGACTAAACCAGGTCTAAACCAGATCTAAACCAGGTCTACACCAGATTAACTCTATCAGGTCCAAACCAGGTTCAGTACACTAGCCCTAAACCAGATCGAAACCAGATCGAAATCGAAACCAGGTCTACATTTATAAAATAAAAACAGAACTGTGCTGTATTGTTAGTTATTTCCTGCGAAGAGGCTAAGTATTTGCTGAAAAGTGTTTGAAGGTCTCTCAAACTTGTTACTACCAAATCTGTTTCTCACACGGCTGAAGTGAAACGTGAAGCTCTTCCTGCAGCCTGTGGTTCGCTGCAGCCACGGTTAATCTCTCTAACTCGATCTACGGCATCCGTTTTATGCCAATGCACGAAAGACCTGGCCTTATTTGGCACAAAACTTTCAAACCTTGTAGTCTAGATCTTTACCAGCACGTTCTGAAATGCACGTGATCTAGTATTAGTTCAACGGTTGCTCTGAAAACTTAAAATCGCACGTGTTTTTAAAGTCACTCTACCTGATTTTAACTGTTCTAAAAGCTGTTTGAATCTGGTTCAGACTTATTCTACACCTTTCTAACGCATTCCTCGCATTCTGAGCATTAATTATTCACCACGATGAGTTTATAAGGAATGTTCAGAAGTCACAGCGGAGTATCGCAGTAATGCCAGCGCTATTTACCAGCAGCTTTATCCAAAACCAGTGATTTTTGACCAATTT